CCGGTCCTTTCCGCAATCTTCTTACTTGCCTCATCATCTGCACATACCAGCTTCTATTTCTTCGGTTGTATACATCAAATGTTAGAGATTCATGGCTATTTATTATGGCTTGGAAGTTGGACCACATGACAGCAAGTCATGCTACGCCTGTTCTGCTACTGTGACGGCCGCATCATTCGATCTATCCGGTAGAGTCTCCGCAACTTTGTCAATTTTTTTGAATTGGAAGGGGAAACTAGCAGGGTAGAGGAAGGGCCGTAAGTCATATCCTGCTCTTGGTTCAGTTGGAATGTCATTAGGCTAGAGGTGAGATACTTCACGATTGTCATCAGGACTGTAGCTCTCCTGTATGATGAATCGTGTCAATATCACTCGAGAGACTTCAAAGTAAACTGAAACGTACAGCATGATAAGAGGGCGTTAGTGTTGTCATCTTATGCCTATTCCGGGCATACTCAAAGAAGAACAACTTCACTTTCGAGGCAATCTACAAAGTGATTATGAGATTGTTGACTGAATAACCGGACAGCTCTCACCTGAGTCGGTGAAAGAATAGCACTCCACTCGTTTACCAGCTTGGTAAACATACTATAAGGTCCACATTTCTCGACTTTGCGTAACCTTCCGAAGATAGATAGCTCATTATAGGTCATTCCCATGTCAGCCTTGATGAGAAAATTGGACGGGTCAGCTCGTTTCACTATGGATTTAGTTCGTGGAGCTGGAGTCGCACCTCGTCTGCCTGAACATAATTCTCCGTAATGGGCTCGAGTTCGGCAGTGGGTACAGCCGTCAAAAAGCTGGGTCAAAGTCGGGGTTAATGATATAGGATACACTGATTTACTGGATTGAGGCGGGTCACCTTTCTAGGACCGGGAGGTCAAACGCAGTCTGTGCATATGCGATAAATTTTTTGAGGTCGGTCTTCGATATGCCACCAATTGGATTGATATCCGCTATCCGGAAATGATACCGTCGATGGAAAGAAGCTGGTCATGGTCTGCACTTACCAGATGAGCAATCATACTTCGTAAGATATCCCCGTAAGCTGCTCGGCAATGTTAGTTATAAGGTAAGGCCATAATTCGAGTTTTGATTTAACCTTTCGTCCACATTTGCACTACCGAGCACTAACAACCCGCCTACACGTCCACGGACCCAGGGCAAAAGTTGAGCGAACAGGTAGGCTAGAACCATCCTCAAGCGAGCCTATTCGCCTAAATTGAGCCTCGTTTGTATATAACGAGTAACGCGATTTTGCCTCACCTGGATATTTTGAAGCGCAAGATTTTCGGCATTTGTGCCGCCATGAACTCTGAAGCGAGGCTGGCGGCCCGTAATTGTCGCAAAAAGAGCGTGAACAGCCGTGACTACAGTGTCCATATTCAAATCAACGTGATAGCTTCCAATAGATGCGGCAAGTTCCTTGGCTCGACGGCGGGTATCAGCGCTCGAATTCTGAGTCCCCATGTAACATGTGTGAAATATCCGACCGCAGAATTCCTTTGCATCCGTAGGGGTATAGTCCGATTCCTCGGGTTCTCCAATAATCCGGCGAGCGTCAGCAATAACATCCTTGTCTGATGCATTCAGTGACCTTACATGGCCCACGCAGTCATAGGCTGACCTCCTCTGTTAGCTGCCTCAGCGACCAATCTACACATGGAGTAGACAATTGCAGCTGTTGCACAGCTATCTATACCCCCGCTTAGAGGGACAAAATATCCTTGGGTACGAGATCTACGAAGGTAGTCCCATAGCCAGCAGGCTGGTCCTAGACTGCAGCGATTTAATCAACCAAATATTGCACTATAATGAAGGTTGCTCACGCTATTTCTTCTTCTGGTGCATGAATTCGGGTGGTTATCTGCGAAGTAGGTGCGCGGCCGAAGGTCTCGTTCGAGAGTGCGAACGATACCTCAATCCGCTGATAACGCTCAGCCTCTGCAGCTTGCATACTGCGGCTTTTTACTGCACGATGAGAGCGAACATCTTCGATGTCAATGGTTGCGGATACCAC